CAAGTAGACAATATAGCCTTTTCTAGGGCTTTCAATTCCCTATTCCAAAAACCTTTCTTACTCCTTCTATAATGTTATATGCACCTGCACCTAAATTAACCTCAGACATTATCACATACTACAGAACAGAAAACAAGAAAATGCAGCCCCCAAACTGTCTCATAATTAAGCACCCACTATTGTTTGAAAAAAATGTCCCTTTAATTAAAATCCTGTGCTATGTAGGGTCTCAATTTAAGGTGTTAGGTTTTCAACATCTAAGCCATGCTTCTGTGGATCAAAACCATAGTAAATATGAAATTCTGTAGGAGAATGTCCCTTGGTTTGAAGGTAATTTTTTAAGTAATCTCTGTCTGGAAAATCTCAGCATCCATTTACACACAGTTCATAAAGTACAATCATTCATAATTAATGAAAGTCATTAATTAAAAGTCATTAAATAGAGTCAAATATCCAATAGCAAAGAAACTATATGTCTCAAAGCCAAAACCTTAGATATCTGTTAATTAAACTGTTCTTTAGAAGTATGTTGCATATTTAAACCCCTAAGATTTTTAATAATTCCTCTTCTATCACTAATGAAAATTAGCAGTACCTGACAGCAGAGACTAAAGCTACCCGGTGGTTGCCAGACTTTCACAGCCCACATCCCTCTTACTAATAGACAAGACAATGTTTCTTGCATCCTCCTTTATAGTTTCCCAGTTCCATGTGGACAGGAACACAAAACATAATCCAGACTTTAGCTCACACTAAAGACACGTCCAACACAGTGGTTTAGCTTTGAAAGCTGGTACCAAGGAAGTCCTTCTGTTCCTACTCACCTCAAAGGATAAAAAATGAATAAGAAAAAAGAAGATTCCCACTCTGTGTATCTTAGTACGTACCCTATTCACAGGCAATACAACTGAGTCAGGCCCTGGTTGTATACTGTTCCGTGGCTGTATGATTATTTTAAGAGAAAGTACAGAATTCTTAGGATAGAATTAAAATCTAATTTTATAAAGACTATAAATGCACAATCAGAGGGTGGGTGCTGGAGGGATTCCAATTGATCTAAACATACAAGGATAAAATATAAT